TATTCAAACTTTATTCCCAACAAAACAGATTGCTAGTCCTTCAGTAAAGACTAAAGGACTTTGATCTGGTAAAATATCGTGATTTCCTTAACAGACTGACTTTAAGAAGCTTTGAAGAGTTAAAAGAATGTGCTGTAACAAATGCAGACTTTAACAGGTTTTTACAAATTAGAATAAGGTCAAGTCAAGTGTTCTGAAGATCATAGCTGATAAAACAGTCCCAGGGTTAATTATGACAAAAAATAAATGGGTGAAAAAGATATATAAATATAGATATATAAATAAATAGATAAATAATAAATAAATAAACAGATAAATAAATAATAAATAAATAATAAATAATAAATAGATATATAAATAAATAGATAAATAATAAATAAATAAATAATAAATAATACATAGATATATAAATATAAATATAGATATATAAAGATATATAAAGCAAAAATTGGAAAAGGAGGTGAATTTCCTCTTATGACTGGAAACATGAGGAAAATTCACTAATAGGTGGAAAAGCCCATCCACTCTGTTTTGGGGGCAGTTTGGATGGAGAAGCTTGGAGAACACAAAGTTATTTAAATAACGATGGCGTTGGACGTCTTGTTGTGGAATAAAATGTTTCAGGACGTGACCACTACTCCAGCAATTCTTGTTTAAGTTAAAAACAGACGTGAAAAATATTTAAGATAATGACCTCTCTTGTCTTTTCAGACTCTTGTGGGGCAGCAAGGTCTGCAGTGACGCTGCAGGTGACGCACCTGAGCGGCATCTGCAATCACGCCTCGCTGGCTCAAAAGTCTGTGTCTGTCTAATGTGGTTGTTGCTCATGTGTTCGGCGGCTGACCTGAAAAGCTGCAGCCGAGCCGTGTGATTGTGCACAGCGACCGCGTGCGGAAAGAGTAAATAAAGAAACGCAAAAAGTGTGGTAGGGTCGTCATCTGTGTCACATTGGTGCCGAAACCCCGGAGGTGGAAGCGTGACCGGGCCAGCCAGGGGAGGAGCTGGCCCAAATGCTGCCACCCAGCAGGAGCAGTATTTGTAAACCGACAGATGCAGATGGGTTAGAGTACCTCCCCGGCGCTGTAGCTGCGTAGTCTCTGCAGGTGCTGTTTGTGGGCGAGGTGGCCAGGCAGCCGGCCGTTCTGCAGAGGTATCCGAGGGTCGATGAAGGTCGTGGCTCGGCTGTTGTGATCTACAAAGAAAGACTAAGAGACAGACAAAAAAGGACTGAAGCAAACATCTTGATTGATAACAGAAAACACACTCGTGTTCTTTGCTTTTGTTAATCATTCAAAATGAGAGGTTCCAACTGTTAATGGCAGCACCAGCATAAAATAAATAAATAAAACTTGAACATTTGCATTAAATACACAAAGGTAATCTGGAGAGCACTGAGCTGGTTCAGTGTAGTCACATCAGGAAAACGAGAATTATTGTGTGCAATTTATTTGTGATCTTGTTGACTATCAAATAGTTGCATCAAAGAAGAGGACCAGGTCAGTTGATGTCTTCAAAGCTATTTCGGTGTGTCAGAGAAGTCAAACAGATAAATCTGCTACTATACTGAAGTTAAATGGGGTCATGCTGGCAATTATAGGCAGTCTGAAAACCTGTTTCTGTCTAAATACATAGAAATTCCCATGAGCCCTTACTTACTCTTCATATTTCACGCCTTAACAGTGCGGTCCAGGTCAACTTTGACCAGGGCCAAGAGTTTCCTCAAAATAAGTGTCTTTATCAAATTTTCTACTATTGAAATATTTAGAAAGTGTACATTTCTTATTTGGCGTTAATAGATGGATCAGTAATACTCATTTAAAAAGAAAAGAACACCCCAGAACTGTTACTCATTATATAACCACGTAAGTATAACAACTGTTAAATGCCATCCTCGGTCTATATCGTAAAATAAATTCACATAACCACCATGTGGTGGAAACAGACAGTGCTTATGAAGGTCCTCTCAGCTCCATGACATATCGCTTCACTAACATTTCCAAGCACAAGGACTTGCTGACTATCAGGCACTGACATTTGCTGAAAGGGCATTCGTGTGGGCGAGTTGTCCTACCTTGCCCTGGGGGTCTGTTTTGATTTCCCAACCCCTTGGCAGCTCCAGCTGACTATCTGCAAACTTGTTGAGGAAGACCACAAGGTCCCTGTTATGTTGGTAGCGCTCAAAGTTTCTGGCATCACGGCGCACCTTCAGGATCATGTGCTTTACACAGCTGCTGCTGGTGAACATCCGGTACGCTGCCTATGGTCACAAATTATAGTCACCAAAAAAGTATCGAGCGTGGGACTCTTAATAAACCCATTAAACTACTTAATACTACAGTATTTCACCCTGGATAAGAACAGTACTGTGATGTACTGCAGGAACAAGACAGCAAGATATCAGTGAAAAAGCCCAACAAAGGGCTTCTGGTTCAATAAACATATAATATGTGCTTGTATGTATCTTTTTGTATGTTTATACTCACATAGTTGCTGTGCAACACAGTAAAAAATTCTGGGTGTGTGATGAACTTGACAGCAGGAGACTGGAGGAGATGGCTGATCTTCTGTTGATTGACAGGAGAGGCGGGGCCTGCAAACAGGCAACAGGCCCTTTAGGAAGCTTATACAATGAAATCTTTACTATTTATTACTGTTTTGTAAACCCACCGATGCAGTTTGATGTACATTAAAGTGCAACTGCTACAGTTTTTTTTTCATCATTTAAGACAATCAGGTAATCTCAGCATCCCAACTATACAAGAGCGAATTATAAACCATGTTCATGTAAAATATTAGAGGGTTTTACAGGAATATGATGTTAAATTGTTAGTGAGTCAGGTGGAGGCGGAGGACAAGCTGAATATGTGGTAACACAACATGATTTTTGACTGATGTCATGTACTCTGTGCCAGTGCATACATATAGCATCACTCCACACAGGGCTGGACTGGGACAAAAAATCGGCCCGGGCATTTTGACTAGAGACCGGCCCACCAAAAATGTGACGTCAATCAGGGGTAAAACCGCAAAGGATTCTGGGAACTTGTGGCAAGCGGTACTAGCGCATGCAGGCTTTCAATTGAACTCAGTTACACAGCGATAAAAAGAAACACAAAA